CATTAAGAAGTGACTTGCCAGGTGAAAAGGGGAGAAGGGCTGGCTAGAGCAGCTGTTGGTCTACATTAATGAGGTAACGCAAAGCATAAGGTTTCAGCATACAGAGGCTTAGCAGCGTGAGTAATATGCAAGTTGAGAAGGTGACTGCAGAGGCTGGTGAGGACATCTGGCTATGTGTATTTCTGGAACAACCAGGGAAGTAGGGCTGGAGAAAATGCTTAGGATAGACGCGGTTATGTTCAAAGTTAGCAGAGATCACTGACCTGAAGTATCATCTTGATCCATAAGGGGGCATAGGTCTAACTTCGAGACTAACCCTGGGAGGAGTCACCTGGCAAACCCTGCAACTCTTTAAAAGACCATGGCTAAGGCTGATGGCAGCATTACAGTCCAGGTCAGCAAAGGCTAACAAACTGGGGCACTGGCTGTGCTCAAAGGAGACTACCAGGGAAAGATGCACAAGAGACAATCAATTAACTTTAGCTTCAGATTTAGAGTAAAGTTAGTTGACAGAAAGCTGAGATTTGAGCATGAATGTTAGGATTTAGGCCAGAAGATGCCATTCATCTAATGTAATTATTTATTTTAGAAAGCACACGCAAGGTAACTAGAGCTTAGTCAGTTAAATGACTTGGCTAAATTTGCTTCTGAGGATGAAAATTATAGTTCACAGTATTAACGCTATGGCAAAGGTTTGTCTAAGATTGAGTTTATAGTTGGAGCTAGGATGATACTTGTTTGGAAAGGTAGCAGCTTATGTAACTTGAGAAGAGGTGGTGATAGGAGCCAGTTAAGTACACATACATAGTCCAAGCTGAGAGGCGTACCTGCTTTATTACAATTAGGACTAAGAGGCAAGTTAGACAGTGCAAGTGAATTCTGGGCAAAATGAGGCCAATTATAATTTCACCTACATCCAAAAATAGCCCCCCAGGTTAAGCCAGAGAAGTGCTTAAACCTTTAAGAATATTTTTAATTCTGGGTAAAGGAAGTTAGAGATTTCAATTTATAGCACAAACAAATGGGAAGGAAATAGAATAACTTCTTTTTATATAATTGCTACTAGGTTAATATAAGTATACTGATCACACTAAGGATCAGTCTCAGCTAGAATTAAAAAAAAAAGAAAAAAAACCAACAAAAAAAACCCCACCAAACCACCACCCTCCAGGTCTCAGTCAGAACTAATTGATCAAAAATGGCCTTGAAACAAAGTTTCTGCCTAGCTACGCCCAAAGCCACCTAAAACAGTCCCAGCACTACATGTCAGAGAGTAGCTCACACCAGCCCTGATCTCAAGCTAGCACTCTAACTTCTTTCTTTTACTAATATTTACCCAACTGTCTCTTTCAAAAACGATCCCACATGACAGCTATCAAGGCCCAGGTACAAGTATTGGTATCTGAGAAATGTACAACAGCCTTCTTTCTAGCCCAGCCATCTCTGTCATCCTCTGAATGGCGTGTAGGCAAGCAGAATAGCAGAAGCAGAATAGCAGTATTTGAACGTTTAGACATTCAGAAGTTGGGGACAGATTTAGATTTAGGATGAGGCTTTCACAAGCTGAAGAGCAGGAGTAAGGTCTGGTCTGGTGGACACTGTACTAATTTGTGAACTGGTGCTTGCAAAGGGCCACCTAGATAATTTCATATAAGAAGTTGTAGAGATAAACTCATAGTAGCAGCTTTAAAGCGTGTTCAGATGATTTCAATAAGGCAGCAGGAGAGCCTGTTTATGCACTACACAAAAATGTAAACAGTGCCAGAAGCAGAGGGCATAGCTCTCAGCTCTCCCCACCGCAGAGGTGGTTTTCCCCCCCAGGAAGGGTATGGCTTCACTTGCTGACTGCCTGTCATCTTCCCGAATAAGGCTGCACTATTTCTTGGAGAGCCTCACCACCCCAACCTGCCCAACTGCAGTGCACCTAGGTCTCTCCTGTGGGGTTGGAAAGGACAGCTTTGAACACTGTAAAATCTCCAGACATTTGCATATATCATCAGGCAACAAGGTCTGTTCCACTTCATCTGATCCTAATACCACCCTGAGAGCAGCATAAGGAGTCAAAAAAAAAAAAAAAAAAAAAAAAAAGTCTTACGTTCCTAAAACCCCTACTTAAAGCAAATACACTTGTACTATCAACTATCAGACAGGGTGATCACTTTTTTTTTAAAAAAACTTATCACTTTTTCTTAGAAGCCAAACTCAATGAATACTGAAATAAATATTGTCACAGTCCTGCAAATAAAGTCTTCAAGTTTGTTTTCTTCTTTCAGTCTCTTGAAAGAATCCTCCCTCAATCCACAGTCACATCCAATGCTAAGTACTCATACCAGTTTTGGGGTATCATGTTTTGGTTTGTGAATGCGTTTTGGAAAAAAAAGATCTTTACAGAAAATGAAAATACCATAGTGCAAAGGTTGTCTGCATTTTGAAGTGTTCACTCAGCCCTCTGAAAACGTGTGTTAATTACACAATAGATTTGAACATTTGTGGATGTTAGTGCTTCCTCACAAGTTATCTACCAAATAAACCATCTTTTCCCAAGTTTCACTTTCAATTCACCCAACCAAAGAATGCCTAAACCAATTCTGATGGTTTCCAATCAGTTCTGCAACACAACAAAATAGTGAATTATCGATGTTTGGATGAATTCTCAAATACTCCGATACTGAAATCTGTGTTCAGAATTACTCAGATAGTTAGTACACTTGTTAACATTAAAATCTGACTGTAATAATGTAACCAAGGGATATATCACTACTATTCTTCCATGAAGGATTGAAGGATGAACAATGCATAGTTAGATCCAGCCGAATGAATCAAGACAAGCAAAAAAAAAAAAAAAAAGAAAAAGAGGATTATTGGAGACATTTCATCTGCTCTTGAAGCTTATTACATACTTGACTGAGATCTCTCTTGCCAAACTTTATCAATGTGAAAAGTGCAAAAAAAGAATTATAAATGGAATGAAGTTTAATAAAACATATGGATCATGTTACCTTTTGTAAATGGGCATTGATCCCAAAGCCACTTCCGTCTGACCTGATAAACAAATCCCCTAGAAACGAATCTACAAGAAGAAAAACTAGTTCCCTATACCAGCATTCAGTAAGGAGGCTTTAAAAGAGAAAACGCTACTGCTAAGCCCAGTATCAGTTAATCAAGCACTTGTTGAAAATTTGACTTAATTGCATATGAAAAGGATGTGACATACTGGAAGTTGGTAAATCTTCATCTGGCTACCTTGGTAAGTTTAATCATATACACTCATTTTTCTGCATGTGTGTGGCATATTTCTGCACTTTTTTTTTAACAATGTATTTTCTTTACAAATATTTTGCTGCTGAGAGATTCTACTCATAAAAGTAACTCATAAGTACTCATAACGAAACTCATAAGTTTCAACTTACTTAAAAAAAAAAAAAGCTTGGTAAACTGAAAAGAAAAAAAAAATCATGTTCTTAATATAAGACTTCCATAAAAAGATGTCTTTAATCTTTTCTATTTCTGCAACAGAATGCTATTCACATGAATATCTGGAAGCTCCATGCCGAGTCGCAAAATTCGGCATGGGGAAGAGGTGATTATTAAAAAACAAAAAAGAAAAAAAAAAGCAAAGAGTATGCCTGGCCAAACAGTGATCAGTCTTTTTATGTCATTATATAGCTTAGATGTGATTGCACTTCACAAAATAAAAGTCTTGAAAGATTAAAAAGCAATAACAGCAAATTTCACAGCAATGGTATGCAATCATATCTCTGCTCAGAAGTGGAAAATAGTAATAGTATGTCATTATTGTCTTTCATGATATAACTTGAATGTGATTTTTAGTGCTTGTCCGTTTTAATAAGCATATGTGTTAATTAGGTTTTATCTATTAAAGAGGAATGAATAGATGCTAATATATTTGTGGCTATTCACTACAGTTGTGAAAGCCATTTCTATCATAAAGATATGATTTTTCTTCCTGTAAACATCTGAATGATTGTCTTATAATGACTGAAGTGTTTGTAAAAAGCAATACTTTGAACTAGCAAAATTGATTAAATAATTTGTTTCTAATCACTTTATAAATCAACCTGGTGGGACTATAATCATATTCAATGTGTGATATTCAATAGCTCAAGAAAGAAGTCAACATACGTTTGAAAAACTCATTCTAATAAATAGAAGTGCCCAAAGAAGCCAGCAATCATGAACAGTTTTAAGATTTCTCTTAGCAAACAAAGAAGCCGAATAAAGAAGAGGTTGAAAAGGTTGAATTAGTAATCTTCAGTTATAACTTGAAATGTCAGTCCGGTTTTAGAGAGACTAGTCATTAAAATACCTTAAAATAGAGCTTCATGAATAACAGAACATAAGATTATTTACCGATCAATCAACAGATAAGTTGGATAAATTATTTTATTACAATGTATACATAATGTTTACTACAAAATACTTTACCTGCTGAAAAGAAAAGCAAGAGTGTTTAGACTCACCTTACATAAATGTTAAATTGTATTTGCTTAAGCATTCAGCAAGTAATCAGTATTTGTACATAAACGATTTTGCAATGAGTAGGAGTCCTGAGAGCTAGTGACTTCATTTTTATCCCAGGTACAGCAGTATCACAATCTCACTTATTGATGGGGGAGTGGCAACAGGAGATTAGGCAGCTGCAGTACCAGATGAGCAGAGTTCCTAATTACACAGTTAGTCTTTACCATCCAATTGGTTCTGCTGATTGATGCTGACACTGCTTGCACACTCAAAGTTAGTGGCTGTTCAAAGAGTTTGCTGAAATAGGGTCCTGAAGCTGTTGAAACCTGCATTTAAGCAGGATTCAAAGTGCAGGCAATTGTTTCCGTACTAGTGCGCATATCTACATTATTTTGTTTAGATTTTTTCCATTTGCATATCCTCCCATATAAAAATGCGTATGGCAAGTTTCTAAGAACCTTTTCTGATCATGTGTCCTAGGTACACAAAGCTATAAATCTTCATGCTGCAAATAAAGAATGCAACAACCAAGCTCTGATTATTCTCCAGACCTGGTCAAAGAAACGTGCATCGGTGTGCAACTTCTAAACAGGGAAGCTGAACTTCATAAAGAAAATGTTGCTTTGTCTGGAAGCAGCAGTCCAGAAGATGTCTTCATTCCCTGTGAAACACAAGCATTATCAGTTTATATGGACACCACCATGCCTCCAGGTGATTACATTCGAAGACAAGGTTATACAGAGTCTTCGCTTCTGAAGCTTCCCACAGAGGAGTGCATTGGGAGCCATCATGCACCTTTCCAGTTTGACCGGCATGCTTTGGCCAGAATTTCCACTTCTCCAACTTTAAGGCGTCTAAGGATGGCCTCTGCCTCACAAGCACTGTCATTTCAGGACTGCTCTGACAGAGCTCAGCTGGGGAATCAAAAGGAATACACTGGCTCTCTCCACCACATTTGTAAGAGTCCACCTCGGTGCACTACAGCTTCCTCATTGTTGTTGCCTTCTTGTGTCCATGCAAAATTACTGTCTTCCAAAGCCAAGTCTGAGACAACTATAGCAGATCCAGAGTCTGCCAGCCCCAGATCAAAGCCGCCAAGCCAAAAAGATCCTCTCAGCAATGGCAGTCCCAATGAGACACTCCAAAACTCTTGGAGAGCCAACTCTGCTATGCTGCCTAGGAGACTCCCCCGCCCCAGCCCTACACCACAGGAGGGTGTCCAGGTAAGAGGAATAGGATGATGCAACCTCCTTTTCAGTCTTGCATATTCAGTGTTGGTCCATCATGGCCCAGTGCATAAACAAAACCACAGTTCTTAACCTGAATGGCAACCTGGCCCTAGTTCCTTTGATATGTCAGACCAACTTCTACGCTCATCAGGAAGGAAGATGGTTCCAGCCTTGTCTGTTGGTGACCAGGTTGGCCTTGTCC